TTAGTTTGGAGAATACCTATCTTAGGCCTAATTACAGCTGCAACAAATCTTAGCCTAAGGGGAAAATATGTTATCACCACAGGAACATTTCCACACCTGTGGATAGTACTCGTTCTCTTCCAATGCCATTGCTCGGACTGATACTTGAACTGGCATGCAAGGCTCGCACTGGTTACACTTTAAATGGCAAGTAGCCGGAAACGACCCTCTCCTTCCCTTTTTAACAATCCGTTGAGGCGGCTCATTCGGCATTGGCATCCCAACAACAGCCTAAACAAATAAACAAAATTGAAACATGGATTCAATATTTCACATTGCACCAGAAAAAGAAAAGGTTAAAGAGCAAAGTTACAGTGCAAAGTGTGGTATGAACTCACCGGTGAAGGTGATGGAGAGTTGGCTAAGTTGCTCGAGTGAACCAAGCAAGAGACGAGCATGGTGAGCAAGAGGGCAAACATTAACGTTCTGGGATTTGCTTCTTGTTGCATTTTTCTCAATTTGTTGTTTTTGTGAATTGAAAACCAACAGCACGAAACTCTCTGGGTTTCTATAAAAGCTTATTTCTTTTCTAGCTTTTTTTTTTCTCTTAGTTAAATTGAAATTGTTGAATTGGTCTGCTAGGGTGAGTGAGTGTGATGTTGCAGTGGTTGAAACATTTTTCTGAAGTAGTCAAGATGCTCCACACGTGTTAGTTCTGAGAGAAGCAGGGTGGTCACGTGCATATGACAACATGCCATGCTGGTTTGGTATTTTTGAAAAGCAGAGAGGAATTCATCCTTGAAATCCAGCCGTTCATCTTTGATTCTTAGGCACTGATCAAAACTGTATCATTTACGTTCATGTCAATATCTACAACCACCCAAAAACCCACACATTTGGGGAGATAAGTGGAAAAAGTTGAAAGAAAAAGTTTTAGGTGTATCTAGTGAAGATTTTAAACTAAGAGGATGAAATTACAAAAGAAATTTTGCTTCTGCAACCACAAAAATAACAGAATGAATTACAAAGTTGTCAAAATTACAAGAAGACAAATTGTCCTCCAGAGCAGTGTTGATTACTTTGACTGGCATTACACCTCCTGGGGCAAGAAGAGACCTATCTGACCTGAAGATCTTCTATATCAGTTAAGAGAACTGTGTTCTCAATTGACCTCTTGTTCACAACCAACTGCCCACATGCTCCACTTATGTCCTGACCCATTTCCTTACGAACTGTTGTTCGGATGCCATAAGTACCTCGTAAGATTTTCTGGAAACTCGATACTTTCTCTTCGTTACTGGTGCTGAACTTACTCAGATCACCAATTGGATTAAAGGGTATTAGATTAACCACCTGTGTGACCGGAAACAACAAATCCACCAATTATTTATTGGGGTATGATACACAAAGATACAGCACACAAAAAAGGGAAATAGAAATTCATCAAATGCTGCCAGTTCAGAGATAAAAACACACCACTTGAAATGTCTCTAGCAATTTCCCAAGCTGGTGTGCATTTTGCTCTTCATCATTCACTCCATCAAGCATTATGTACTCAATGAAGATTTTTTGCTGACTGAAGATTAAGGGCAACAGTGAGATTCTCTAGGAAAATGACAGTCAAAGTGTAGTTGTAAAGACACAAAAGCTAAAATAATTTACTAAAAGCATGAGGTGTAACAAAATTTTACGTGTTCTTTTGATATTCTTGTAGTGTATCCATAAGCTTTACTAAAGGAAAAGCTCGAGCTGCAGGCATTATCTGACAACGAATTTCTTGTACAGGTGCATGCAGTGAAACTGCTAAATTCAGTCCTGGAAGGTCAATATGAAGCTTTTTGATAGCATGAATAATGCCAACCTACAGAAGATTAGATGCACAACTGATAGACCAGTAAGCCAAACGTTTCTAGCACTTGAGAACTATTTCATAAGACTACTGCAACTATGATTCATTTCCATGCAACTGAAGACTTAGGAGAGCTTTGTACTACGTAGTTACTTTCCATCTGCCATATAAAAGGAAAAGTGGCAGGGAAGGGTTGCATCTTAAGTTTCATCCATGGAGGTCCCCAATTCAGGCCATCATAGAAAAAACAAATTATGTAAACATATCTTCAGTTAAAGGGAAATGCTTTACACATTCTGCCCTACTCTAAGAAGCCTGTATGTTATTGGTCCACAAACTGTAGACAAAATATCATGAACTAACAAAAAGAAAAAAAAATTACAAAACCTTGATTATAGAAGCATATAGAATGGTATGAGAAATTTATTAAGTCCATCATATCCAAAGGCCTAGAACAATAGAATGGTCTAAGTTCAGTTAGTGACTTCCAAGACAACTGTAATAATGGTGGGAATACATTTTTCATGGACAGAACCAAAAGAAATATGATATAACTTTAACCAAAAGTTGAGATTAACTGGGCTTATCATCAGTGTCTTAGTCTATAGCTAATCTCACTTCTCAAAATAAGGTTCCCTCATGAAAGAGTCCCTTGAATGGAAAATCAAGTAGCCAAACACAAAGCAGCTTTCTAAAGAACTTAATTGCATGAAACCTTAACTTCACGCATTTCAGAGAGGAGGGGGGAATTTTCTTATGAACTCTTTGAAAACTGATTAGAAAAAGAAAAAAAAAAGCATAAAGAATCTTATGCATAATAGCAGTTTGCAATGCGTACCGTGGACACAGTAATTTTCTTTGGCGACAAATGAAATGGTGGTCCAGTCATGACATGAATCGCTTCCACTAAGGCACCATAGTTATTCAATGGTTCCCCCATTCCCTGACAAAAGAACCAAAGTTTTGAAAAGATCACTTATTTCTTCCACATACATAACATATCATTCCAATGGAAACAAACAAGTAAGCAAGTAAAGATATAAAAAATTACCATGAAAACAACATTGCGTATAGGCGAAATACGAGAAGCATGAACCAGTTGCTCCACAATCTCCCCCGAGGTCAGATTGCTCCTAAACCCCATACTCCCAGTGGCACAGAATGTGCAACCCATTTTGCAACCAACCTATTAACATCAACAGAAACATTCAAAAGCAAGCAATTTTAACAAAAACCAAAATTTCAAAACTCAATACCTGAGATGATACGCACAAGGTGGACCTCATTCCACCAGGGCGGGGCTTCCCATTGTACTTTCCCAAGCGGGTATCGTACCTCATAATCACAGCCTCCACAAGAGCCCCATTCTAATAAAAAAAAACAACAAACAATGCGTAAGTCTCTCTCATTTAAGCATTTTATCAAATGGGTTGTGTGCGAAAGGAGAAAATCGCATACCTGTAGCTTTATAAGGAGCTTGGTGGTGAGTTGGTCTGAGGAATCCATGGCCGAGTGGACACAGGAGGTTAGGGTTTTGAACTTTGAGGTTAGAAGAGGGTACGCGGCGGAGGGTAAAGACGGAATTTGGTCCAATTGGGCGTCGGGGTTTTGGATCACCTGCTTCCATATGTAGGGGATGAAGCTGGGCTTGACCCCGGACTTTTCCAGTTCTGATTTCAGCTCTCCCGCCTCGAAGATTGATCGAAACGACATCGTATTTTTTCCACTTTGCAAAATTTTGAGCGTTGGCTGGGTGTTGCAGCGGCGGAGACGAAGTGTGGCTTATGGCTCTGTTGTGAAATCGTGCATGGAAAAGCGTTTGAAGAACTTCGAAACGACGTCGTGCGCACAACTTTTACTTATATAATATTAATTTAAAATAATTTAAATTATCGCTTATATTTACATAAAAAAATAATTATATCAAAGCACACAAAAACGTAAAACATAATAAACAAAGAATTTGAACTCTTTTTACATATAACATTCACTTAGAAATTTAGAAAATGGTTTATTCCTGTTGGAATTTTAGTTCACAATAAGAAAAGAATTATATATTGTCATATGTTATCTTCCAAAATATGTATATATTTGACGAGGCCTCTAAAAGTGATGTGTTTGACCATAATACTACATTGTGGATGAAGGTATGTGTATAATAATAAAAATAAGAAATGCTAGCTATCTTCCCTTTTTGTACATTCTTTATCATTTGTTCATCATGTAATGTCCTTTGAGGCACGAAAAATCTCTCATCTAAACTACACTTTAAACCATTTCGATCGTTTAACATTGCAAAATGAAAAGAAAAATGAATAAGAGCATAAGGGTAGACGGGAACTCAGCTAGCATTCTCCTTTGAAAGTTTATGTATTAACGAGTGATTACTAATTATATCATGATGAATGCTAATGTTTTGTTTGGCATGCTAGATTGGATCGATTGGATCCTTACTTTTTTTAAAAAAAGAAATTCTAGAATTGCATTCATAATTGAGTCAAAAAAAAGTCATTAGTCATGAAGGGTCAATATTAATTAGACATAAAGGACCATTACAATAATGAAGTCCAGAGAAATCTAACATCAAAATGAAGACAATTTGGTGTGTCTCCACTAACAATCTTGCAAGACCGAAGAAACTCTAGCATAGGCATCTCAACTAACATTGCAAACTTAGAACAATAAAAAAAGATAAAACTTGAAACCAAGTCAAAACAATACAAATAAAACTCTCACAAAAGAGAAGTGGAACAACATTGATTAAATTGAATAAGATTATTTTTGTGCTAAATTATACTAACATATGCAATGTTTCATTAACATGAGATCAAACTCAAACCTCAGACCCCTTCAAACCTTTGGATCTCGATCTTGGATTCGAAACCCTAATAACCTCTTACAAGGTTTTAATTTGTCTATAGGTAGGTGGGATATTAAACCCCGGATATTGTTTGTTTTTTAGTCCCGACCAACCCCATTTTAGTTTTTTCCTTTCTTTTGTTTTGCAACTAATTGGTCCAAATCTGTCCATTTTAGTTTAGGTGGGATAATGACATTGCATTATAATATTGACAACTCTGACAGAAAAATCCAATGCCATTTTGGCATGGTTGTTACTTGGTGCTTGGTTTGCAATTGTAGGAGCACACAAACAAACATTATGACATTCAAATTTCAAATCATCCCAAATCTAATTCACTGCTTTAATCATCTCTCAAAGTTTCAATTTCACCGACATTAAGAATCAAAATACACTATCATTGATATTGAACATAAAACTCTTACAAGAAATGAACCGCGTCATTATGAAGGAAGCTCCACTTTTGAACACTTTGATGATCCAATGCGGCCTGGAGGAGCAGCAGAAGCACCACCTTCTTCCTCGAAGCTACGCGAACGAATAACTTCCGGCGGTGTTCGACGAATAGATGAGGCCTCTAAGACATCATGGCCACTCATCAAGCGATGGTAGCTAGCATGGGTGGAGATGCTCTCAGTAAAGGATGACCGGTGCCTGCGCTGAGGTCTTTGCTTCTTGATGGCGTGGTAAAGATATGGAATTAAGCCTTCCATTTTGGGCCTGCCTAGATCCATCGCTCTCACTTTGCCTCTTCTTTCTTCTTGTCTTGTTGTTGCTGACCACAAAAAATTAATGGAGCTCTGCTCCTCTTTGAAATTTATGTGTCACAAAAGTCCTTAAGAAGGAAAGACTTATTCTGCAACTTGTCTTCGCTGGCAGGTCATATACCTGTAATGACGTTTTTACCCTTTGTTTATGATAAGATACCGGGGTTTCTTTGGGTAACTATAAGTACACCACATATACAACTGGCTAGTCTTCGGTCTATTTCATCTCGATTTAGTTGGAACATGATTCAAGTTCAACTCACGTAAATACGACCACGGTATATTTGAAACATGATTCAAGTTTAACTCATATAAATACGAGGACGATATATTTTTGTGATGTATTCAATTCTTAATAGTGGCTAACTCATTGTAAATACGTAGGTAATTTTGTCGTAGCTGATCAATTATTCCAAAAATATTTTTATAAAATATTTTTATCGTTTAAAAAAAATAAAAAAATATATACACTATAACGTGGCTCCTGCTGGATCCTTTGTTACATCAATTGTATAAAATAAAAACAAGCACACAAGACAATCAATCTCAGAATCTACAGTTGACCAACGTCTGCTTTCAAACTTTCAACCTCACCAACATTATTAACAATTAAAATACATTTCCACTGCTCAATTAACATTAAACTTTTACAAGAACTGAACTACAAGCATTGAACACTTCGTTCTAATACCAAAAGGAAAAACAAAAAATCAATGAAATATTATTCGGATTGAATCTTTCATTTCCTTTTAGCCATACCCACATTAGAGACCTGGTAAGGATAGGAACCCATCTTTGATGATCCAATGAGCACTGAAGGAGCAGCAGAAACACCACCTTCTTCCTTGAGGCTCCGCGAATGAAGAAAATCATTCGCGGGCCGCTGCTCAAAGAAGCCAGCAGTGCTAACAGGAGGCTGAAATTCGGATCGTGTCCGGCGATGAGAGGAGCCCTCTAGTGAATCCTGGCCACTCATAAGGAGATGGTAGCTGCGGTTGGAGGAGTTGCTCTGAGAAAAGGACCTATACCTGTGTTGTGGCCTTTGCTTCTTCAGGGCATGAAAAAGAAATGGAATTAAGCCTTCCATTCTGTTTGCTCGGTTTTGCCTCTTCTTTCTCTTCTTCTTGTCTTGGTGTTAATAATAATTGATCTAGCTCTGGTGCTTTTGAATCTTGATATAATGTCCTGGAGAAGCAAAGACTTATATACTACCTTGCTGGGAGGCACAACGTGAAGGAAAACGGTGCAAGTAAGGCAGGTAATATATGTGAAATGACGGTCGTGCCATTTGACTTTGGGAAAATAGCGTGCTTTGGTTGGGGACTTGAGGGTAATTTCAATCTGGGTTTTCTCTGAAATGTAGGGTCTTCATGTTTGACTTTAGCAATATGAAAAAGGATAGCGTGTCGTGGGACAATTGGCGGGATTGTGATGGCTTTGTGCTTTTTGACTGAGTGATGCATATGTTGGCATAGCTAGCTTGGCTACAATGGCGTAATCCAAACAAATCCAGTAGGGTTAGGCGGCCATGCGCGTAAAATTCAAATGGATTGGATCGAAAAGGATTGAACAGATAAATCCCACTACCTAAAGAAGGGAATTTTAAATATATTTTGCTTGACCTAGTATTATTTTCTTGACTTGGTATTGGAGGCTTGGCAACTTTTGGCACCATGAACTCGTGCTTGAATGTAGTTAGAACAAAATTAAACAACTCAAAACTCATTTGGTTTGTTTGTTTGTGTTTTCTTTGAATTTTTTATTTTTCATGAAAAAAGATTTACGGGAAAGGGAGGTTAATCCCATTTTTGAACCGGGGCATACGAAGACCTCTTTGACGACTTAGGGGGTCTTGGTCCCATTTTTTTTTTATTTTCTTTGACTTTTATAACACAAATTGGTTCATCTTTCTTTGGGATTTAATAGCAATGAATGGAAATGGTGGGCTTTGCCCACCGTTTATTGCAATTAAGTATAGTGCTTACAACTTATTGTATTTTAAATGCTTCAATTCATAGAGAGATGCTCTGTAGTTTTCACAAGTGTGATTTGTTTATTGGTTTTGTAATGCATAATGGGGACCCTTTTGCTCATCGGTTTTCTTTCATGAATGTGCATGAAATATACAGGTAGAGAGGGAGTTTCCCTGTACTTTCCAAAACTCCCAAATCTGGGACCCAAGACCGTAATTAAAGTCAAAGGTAGCTTAATTTGATTGATATACATAACTATCAAGCACTTAATGTGAATTGAATTATGCTGAATTGGTCTCAAACAAGAAGCTTGGCCAAAAAGTGAGCTGGTTGAAGGGTAGTTGAAACTTGAAACAAAGTAATCAAGATGTTTTTGAGTGCAGCCAACTTTAAAATATGTTTATCTATTAGATAACGGCGAACATGACATGTACAATTATAAGGAATTTAGCTAACATTAATCGTTCACGCATGCATGTTGTATTGAACTGTTCATTAGTGCGAGGCTCATTGTGCGATCCACGTTCGTCTACGATTGTCTGTCAAGCATGAATTTCTCATGTGTTGCTTCAGTTTAGATGCACACCGAATGCCACATTATTGGTTTGCATATTTTTCATGGTAGGACAACTTTTGTTATACATACTCCAGAAGAATTCAAATCCTGAGATGAAAAACACCAATCCTTTTATTTACTTTTTTTTTTTGTATCCTCACTTTATAGATCCTTTTACAATAAAATTTGCATTACACCCTTGAAATAATAAATCTCTATCATATGTTTCTTACTGTTGCGGAGCTATTTGCTTATTTACTAGCTGCAAGTAAATAGCTAATTAGATGTTGTTAATTATAAAGTTAAAAAGCCTCCCTCACTTCTCCTTTCCTGGCCAGCCTAAAATTGAGAATGTGCTTCACTTGGTACTCACTAGGAGAACCAACCAGAATTGTGTGGGTCCCAGTGGCCAACGTCCTCTTTCCTTCTCTATCCACAAAGCTCAGTCTCTTGCACACATCCACCCTCATGGTTACAAGCTTTGTCTGCCAATTCTTCACCTCCACCCTCTGAAAGTCCACCAGCTGCAGGTTTGGTGCTCCAACCAACGTCCCCGAGCTTGGTGGTTTCCAGAACACTAGCACCACGTGGCCTCCGTCCCTTGGCCCGTTGTTCCTCACACCAACAACAAGGTCAAATTTTAGTTTCTGGCACTGCACTCTTGATATGTCAATGAAAGGGCTTCTGGAAGCAGGATTCGAAATCAGTTGAGTGGTGGTGTTGGAAACAAGAAGGCTAGCATGTGGGCTGGAAATGGGAGTTGAGTGGATGCGCACAGTGGAAGGTGCTGATTTTATGAACTTGGTGAATGTTGAATAGCTTAGGCCATGACCAAACTCATAGATGGTTTTTCCATTGTAGAATCTGTATGTTCTTCCAGGGAAGTTTCTGCTTGTGTTGGCTCTCATGTTCATGTCTGTCATTTGCACTTGGTCTGCGTACTCCTTAGGGTACCATGTAAAAGGTGATCTTCCAGCTACACATTGTGGTAAAAAAGAAAAAAGAAATTACCACTTATGATCAACAAATCGATAACCCTGAGACAAATTTTACCATTATTTGAGCCTAATCTCATATTGAAGCACTTTAGAGATTAAAGAGGGTCAAAATTAACCTGGATTGTAGTCTCCAAATATGACTTGAGCTATGGCATCTCCTCCAGCTTGACCTGGATATCCTACCCAAATTATCCCTCCTATCTTTGTCACATTTTTGGCAAAAGAAACATCAATTGGGCCAGCTGACATAATGACCAAAATGACTGTTCCTTCTGTTGCGTTAACAACTTGGTTTACAAGCTTTTCTTGAAACCCTGGTAATGTCAAGGTCTCTCTGTCTAGCCCCTCTGCTTCAATGGACTGATCCAGTCCTACTACCACCACTACTGCATCAGCTGTGGCAGTGGCCAGAGCCGCTGCCCCAATAAGGCTCTCGTTAGCACACTTCACACCGTTACATCCGGGCTCATATTTCAAGGCAGAGACATACTTCTGTAGCCCTTGTAAAGGGCTAGTATAGCTACATGGTATGCCATGATAGTTGCTTATCATAACATCAGTGGCATTTGCATTAGGTCCAACAATAGCCAAGTTCTTGATTTTTTTGGAGGACAAAGGAAGAGCTCCCTTGTTGTCTAGCAAAACTATGCCTTGCTTAGCAGCATCAAGTGCCAAATTCTTGTGATCGTTGCTGCACACATCAGACGGACCAAGTTTTCCAAACTGGAGCAATTTAGGGTCACCATCAAAGAATCCAAGCCTCATCAATACTATGTAGTTGTATATCAAGGATTGATCTACCACAGATACATCCACTTTTTTCGAGTTAACCGCGTTCTCTGTGTACTGTCCTAAAAAGTTCCCACAATTCAGGTTTAGACCTGCATGATCACATTGTAACACATGATGTAAGATCAATTATAAGCCTCTTGTTGAGGTACTTTTGATTTCTCAAAAAATGCTTACAACTTTTTGGCTGCAATTCCAGTACCTGCTTTCAAGGCAAGGGCTACAGCATCCTCAGGTGTTGGAGTATAATGGATGGCATCATAATATACCTCGATCGAGTCGCAATCTGAAACAATATATCTGCTCATATGAGCGCGCGCACACACACACAAAAGAAAAAGAGGAAAGAACGGTCAGTCAGGCACAAGGATCATTAGGGGATAAAAACCAGTTATTGTTAATGAAATTGAAAATTTAGGATCAAATTTGCATAAGCTAAGATTAAATTAAACCTCTAAAGCTTGAGAGGCAAGAAAATTACCCATCAAGACCCCATTGACCTCTGATTACCCCTTGGAGGAGGTTCGGGTCAGCGCAGGTGGGAATCCCATTGACCCTATTGTATGAACACATCACACTGCTGACATGGCCCTCCTCTACACAACTTTTGAAGGGTGGCTGATATGTATCCTCCAGGTCCTGCTTTGTCACCTGCCATTCACTCCAGCAGCAAGAACATGGTCATTTGTACCCTAAATTTCTTGTATCTTAAGAAAGATGAATTATGAACATAAAATATGGTTAATGCTTTTTTTTTATCTGCATTGAGTATTGACTCAAGCAAATAGTTATAACACAAACTCCTGGCATTTTAAAAGAGATAGATCTCCTTATGAATATAAATATAATTTATTCTTCTTGAAAATCAATAATTAAGGAAAATAATGTAATATGATTATCCCATCTTTTTTCTTTCTTTCTTTTGTTGTGGGAATATCAAGCCTCAGAAGAACAAGTTTCCCTTATTTACTAAAGTTCCTCCGAACTTTTCCTAATATTGAATCAAGATGTCACTTAAGACCAAATAAATCTATCAAAAAAGAGACCAGCTAGCAGGGTGTATATACCTGTGCATCAAAGTGAAATCGATCGACGCCTTTCCAGTTATCCACATCATAAGCAGTGTAATGCTTGCAACAACTTGAGACCTTTAGCCTATCATCACCGGCCTTTATTCCTTCACTCACTTCTTGCAGACCCCTGACATAATTCACTCCATAATTCGACACCACCAGCGGGTCCTCCCCGGGTGTTTCTTGTCCACGGCCCCATCTAGGGTCACGGAACACATTAACATTCGGGCTCCAATATGTCAACCCGGCTAGACCAACATTGTACATGGCTCTAGCCTCAGTTGACACAACCTGCCCCATCTTTAACCACAATGATGAATTAAAACTTGCAGCAGATAGAATCACTGCTGGGAAACTAGTGGCACCAGGCACAGTGCCATTAAACTTTGTGCCCGGGCCAAGATCGGACACACCATGAAGTGCCTCGGACCACCACTTATAGGCAGGCACGCCTAGCCGAGCTATGCCTGCGCTATTATCTACTAGCTGTTGCACCTTTTCTTGGAGAGTAAGGCGTGACACGAGGTCCTTGGCTCTGTTCTCATAAGACAAGGTTCTGTTGCAAAAGGCAAATTTGCTAGTTGTTGAGTCTTTATTGTCACATGCAAATTGTTGTGCGAAAATGGGGACAACTAGGAGAAATGAAAGTGAAAGAAACAAGAGGATGTGGATTTGGTTCTTCATGGCTTCTTTGATTTGTGGTTTTATACTGTTTTTCTCTATAACTGGTTTGAGGATTTAAGAGCAGGCATTGTTGCTATTTATACTAGAAGCTCTTTAAGGCTAAGGGCCAAAGTCACTATGAACTTTCTGTTTGTTTTGCTATAACTGGGCTGTTGCTTGTGAAATGAGAAAGAGAGAATGTCAGGCCATTTCTCTGCTTTAGGTGGGTACCAAATGATCTTTATGATGATGCTTAGGCAAAACAAAAGCTTCTTTTGTTCTCTCAGTGGCACTTGTCATGTACATGGAGGGCCATGACTCATGGACCAACAATATCCACACCCTTGACCCCGCGGCAAAGATGCAATAACTTTTGGTCTATAACAAAAAGAAAAAGAAAAAGAAAAAGAAAACAGAAAATAGGGCAAACCCAATGATAAATGATCTTGCTATTTACTTGTGTGAGATTATTTGATTTGATTTTTTATGGGATTTGTATACCAGATTCAAGAATTATAATGCATCTGATTATCACAAAAAGAATTATGCATCTGATTATCATACGAGCCCCTTGCTCTTAATGTATATGATTTTTTTTTGGCTCTTAATCACCTGAGCTATATCGCTTTGTAGACTTGTTTTAAGTTATAGACTTCTGCGGTGTTCATAAATCCCTCTTCTACAAAGTTAAAAATGATAGATTTTTGCATTATTTTTTATTTTTTGGGTTTAAGCCGACACAAGCAATCCATAAGTGAAACTATAGAGCTCTAGCCCATTAAGATTGCATGTTTCATGATGAAATCATTTTGTGTGATTAAGTCCTTTCAATTAAGCTCCAATTAATGGGGCTGTATATATGCCATTTCCCATTATGTTTATGGTCATTTCTTGTTTCTACTTTAATTTTCACCTAACAGATTGAAAAGTTAGCCACTAGTTGACAAACACACAGAGGCAAGTATTCATCTCAAGCAAACTAATGGGAAAAGGTTTAGGGAGAGTGATGGATGAAAGGGTGCCTTAGAAGAAACTGCAAACTTAAAAGGACGATTGGGAAATGTGCCACGTGAAAGCATCAAGGTTTGTAGTTATAGGACATACTAAATTTATGCTTGAAAATTACATTTCCTTGAATTTTACAGATTTTTTTTTTTGAATAATACTAGTCTTATCACATTTTTTATACCACAATTTTATACCACATGATGTGGCGGCTGATGTGTACATACCATATCATGTAAAATACTAGTTTCTGTTTTTCTAATTTTATTTATTAAAATACATTTCATTCATTTAATTGATATGTCATATGATATGGATATGCCACATCATGTGGTATAGAAATGTGGGATAATAATGTGGTAAGTGTAGCATTACTTTTTTTTTTTTTTTTTTGGGTCAAACAATAAGCGAAAGAAAACGTTTACATATGAGGCAAGAGTACTAAACAATCATTCAAGTACTACTACATTCCACTAGTGATAAGTCTCCTACTTGGACACAAACGCCGCAATATTATGCGCAGCTCTATTCAAAACTTGCCTTTGGTTCTAATTATGCTTGAATAAACATCATCATTGATTGGGACATGAATTTTAAAGCAATCATCTTATCACCCCCAATTACTCTAGTTAGTGGTAGTAGGGGTGGGCATTGGTTGGACAAACCTGACCACTGCACTCTGGGAAATTTGGATAAGGTTATTTAATAAGCTAAGCAAACATGGTTACAATTTCTTAACCAAAATTACAATTTGGGTAAACACACATTGAAAAATCTCCAATATAAGCAAACATAGTTACGAGATTTGAAAAGAGATGTACCATTATATTATTGAATAACGGTTAAAAATAGCCTTATTATCATTCACCAAAATACTGGTCTTTAAAAAAAAAAAAACCGTTGACTATGGTGGTGGCCACGGTTTGTTTTTTAAAAAAAACAAAAAACAAGAAGAAAGTATTAAGGGGGTTACATTCTAGGAAGGAAAAAGTGAGTGAGTGGGATCAAATATATTAGGAGGTGACAATAATGTGATTCTTTGTTTATTATCTCTTCATTAGAGTTTTTTTTTAAAAATTATTCTGAAACTATATCTGAGCAAAAAATTGGATGCAAATAGAATCTCTTCCTATTATTATGTCAAAGGGTGCTTTTCTTTTGTTAATTGGAAAAAACAAAAAAAAAAAAACCAAAAATCTTGTTGGGCCTCTGAGCTCCCAATAGAGCTGCTCATTGGTTGGGTCAATGGGCTATATATTTCTCAGGCTGTGTTGAAATGAATTTCCTGATATTTATGAAAAGAGCTAATACTTATGACGAGTCATTCTATAGTGAAGATTTTATTTAAGGATTTTAGATTAGATCTTATTTCTTAATTGATGAATCAAACTAATTATTTTGATCAAACGGTTAAAAGATAGAGCATCATCTAAGAACTATAGATAAGATCCTCACTATAGAATTCTACTGCTCCTCACAATTGTATGTTTTTTTTTTCTCTTCATGGTCTTTATGGTTAGTTTTTCTCCTATTTTAAATAGAAAGAAATTAGAAAAACAATAAAAATGGCTGTCAAATTTACAGAAAAAAGAAGAAGAAATCTTTCAAACATTGTATAAGATATCAGACCAGAAAAAAACAAAAGAAAAAAGAAACATTAAGCCTCTGGCCATTTCCTCAGGCCCCCAATGGCTTTAGCGTTCTATCTGGACAAAGCTTTCAAGCCCAATTTTCTTTTCACCCAACCCAACGCAACACTTATCCACTCCAGCTCCAACTCCACAAGCGTAACGGTTTTAACTACCTGTCCATGTTCCACCTTGCCATATCGATTTTATAGATTTCCAGAGCATAAACTTCAATTTTCAGAGACCAATCTGCTTTCTCTAATTGCAGTCCCAAATTAATTACCCATCTTTCTCTTGGGTACTTCTTCTTTAACCTTCTACAGCAATTTCATCCTTTTGAATTTCTTCATTTTCCCTTCTTTTTGGATTTTTTTATTTATTTTTAATTTTATTTCAGCATCTGAGTAATCCATTGACGAAGACCCATTTCAGATTTTCATGATCACAGTCACCATTGAGTTTCATCCAAAAAAAATCAAAGAAAGTGACTTGTGACTATAATATTGTTTGTGTTGAGAAAAAAAACAGGAACTTTCTTTTGTTTTCTTTTGTTTTCTCTTTCTTTCTCTTTCTGTCCAAGAAAATGGCAACTCTGGGTTCAGGGGTTCTGGTGAAGCTTGTTGAAGAAATGGGAAGTTCCGGAAAGGCCTCGAACGACCGAAAGCCCGTGTTGCTACAAATCAGAAGCATCATTCCCGTGTTGGCAGAGGATGATCTTTGGCCTAATCAGGGGTTTTACTTGAAGGTTTCAGATTCTTCACATGCCATGTTTGTGTCGTTGCTTCAAGAACAGGATGACATGGTTCTTTGCAACCAACTGCAACTTGGGCAGTTGATATTTGTACAAAAATTGGAGGCAGCACACCCGGTGCCAGTGCTTAAAGGTATAAGGCCTCTCCCGGGTCGATTTCCCTGTGTTGGAAATCCTGCAGATCTTTTTGCCATAGATAAGTTGGTGAATTGTAAAGGGGCATCTGATTTAGTTATGGAGAAGGATAGAGGTGTGGAGAAGAAGCCTCGGGGCAGATATCGATCTTTAAGTGCCTCCAAGTCCTGCCCAAGTGAGAAGAAAAGGGCCTCTAGGCCTGGAAATTGTGATGTGGGTGAGAGGGAAATGCGTGTTGTGACAAGGGGGTTCAGGAAAATAAGCTCTAGTTTTGTAGAGAAAGATAGTGATTCTGATAGCACATTGTCTTCTTCTTCGTCTGTGCTGACAGTGAAGAGAAAGAGCTGGAATGGGGCAGAACAAGTTGCAGACTCCCTAGTTGTCAAGCATGGGATGAAGCCAACTGGTCGACGTAGCTGCAGTGCTCATGTGAGTGTCCTACTGCTTCTTCTTTTAACTCATATTCCTTTAAACAGAAACTATCTGACTTGAGTACCATTTAGTTGGAATGATTTTTGGCATTTTTGGCCTGCTAATTAGAAATTTGATGAATAATTTAGAGAAAGTTAAGTGTAAAATTTACTACAAGTACGCCAGTTTATTCACTGTTAATCAGCATGAACTTTCAGCAAATGATTAAAGTTGGTGTAAATAACAGTAAGTGAATGAAGAATTTGAATTAACCATTCTTTGGACAGAACTCTGTCATTTTAGATGGCTGCAAATGCATTTCACTTATTCTACTGCTGGCCCTAAACGATGAATTTTATATTTTTTAAGGCAGGAAACCATGAATTCTACTTGTCATAATACTGAGCAATCATTTTCCTATAGTATTATAAGCATATGTAATTAGATTTGTCATGCAACAAATACCTCTTTTGTCTGATGATTTACTACTGTCCGCTGCTTGAGCTTGTTATTTGCTTGTTTCTTCATCGTTAAGTTCAGCGATTACGAAAATTTTAAGAACAAAATTCACTTAATGAGTTTGTACGGCTACAGGGACATTTTAGTTTTCTAGTTTGTTTTGCTTTTCAAAATCACCATGAATCAATAATCACTTTTCCTAATCAAATGTTTTTTCCTCTTTCTGCCTTGACAGGCTTCTCCAGTTCGTTCTGCAAAGTGTCACAGTTCAGATGACAAGTCAAGTCCCAAAACAAGAAGAATTAGTGATGACATAGCTAAGAAATCTGTTAAAAATTCCAACAGTAGGATCTCCGTCTCAGCGAAAAATTGTGAGCAGTCCTTAGATCCACCATTGATGTTTAATCCGGCTAATGATAAGAAATGGTCAGAAAGTAAGATAGTGTGGAACTCCCTGCCCCCAACATTAGTGAAACTTGGCAAGGTATTCTGTGATTCACTAAACTTCACGAGGCCTGTTCCTCACCGTTGATTAATTCCTAGCTGATTGAGCTAGAACTGTCATGTTTGCTGTGCAGGAGGTACGAAGACACAGGGATGTTGCTGTGCTTGCTGCAGTGGAGGCTTTGCAAGAGGCTTCTGCTGCTGAGAGTTTGCTCA